CGATTTTTTGGGTTTGGACTCATTTCTCATTTATGTCCTCACGACCACTTTGAAAACGTTGAAACCACTCGTGCACTCTGCTACGGGATAGGCAATCATTGCCATAAACTTGTTTCATCAATAGAAACGTTTCGGTAAAAGCTTTACCAATTTTAAAACAAAATTTAATGTTGTCGCTTTGTTCGAAACTCATTTTCGCACCGATGACAAAACAATACTGACACTTAAAACGAAATAACTTCACTTCCAATAAATGAAATGCCATGAAATTTTTACTGGAAGTCGATAAAGGATATCAGATTCTAACGCACTAGTCGACATATATATGGCGCCACTAGAGTTTACTTTGTTACTTTTTACTTTGGAACGCACCTTGTATAAACATCCTTCAAGTCGAATTAAGGTTACTTAATATGGAAAAAATAGCTTTGCTATTGTATAGCAGTTCGATTTAAACAATATGTTTATAGATTGTAGCTTTGCCTTGAACAATATTCTTTGTCAAATTTCGTGAAGTTATCTTGTCAAATAAAAAAAATTATCCATACAAGGACTTGATTTTGATTGTTTAGTTTGTGTGGCAGCTATATGCTATAATGTTCCGATATCGCTAAATGTGCAACTTTTGGCGAGAAAAGAACGTGTGCAAAATTTCAGATCGATATCTCAAAAACTGAGTGGCATCATATTATCTTATTATGATATATGTCGCGGACTCAATTAGCTTTTTTACTACAAAAGCATACTTCGTGACCTATTTCCACCCTAAGATAAATCGGATGATAAGTCTGTCCACTCCCCAAAAACTACTAAAGTGCGATAACTCACTAACTACACCCAAGACATTGCGCACAAGCTGTACAGAAACCTATATCAATACTGAACAATGAGGTGATATCCAATATCTCAGGAACGAATAATCCAATTTATACCAAACTGGGTGCATAATTTTGACTTTAGTAGGTTACACTGTGAAAATGTGTGAAATCGGATAAAAATCACGCCTAATTCCTTTAAATCACAATTTTAAATTCCATCTGTGTTTTTCCCTTTTGCAGTGTAGAAACCAAGAACCAAAGAAGATATCGGAATTAAACTTTGTACAAAGAGTCCATACATACCCTGGCATGACTGATAACTAATATTTTACTTAAAATATAGATAAAATTGTGACATATGTGAATAAATGAAACTCCGAAAGCTTCTCTCTTTGAATCCTTGTGACCTAAAATTGTCAAAATCGGACAACAACTGTTCAACTGTGCCAACAATATGTGGACCCCAGTTCCTAAAGCGAACATTTTATCGAAAATAGCGGTCAATCGGTAAGATATGCTATTGATATTCGGAGCAAATCCTTTTCGGCCTGTATGTGAAAATGGGTTGAATCGGAACCTTAGCCGCCATATATGTACCTAATATAAACATTTTCGAACTTACCTTTACATATCGGCTAATATGTGAGTTATCTTAATGAAAATAAGGGAGCATGTTTTGCTAATAACTAGGGCTCGGATTTTTATACACTAAAAAATTCAAAATATGCGCATATAATAAATATATACAATACTAAGGAATGAAATAAATGCTCTATAAACAAACAAAATATGTATGAAATTTTCTAATAATTTTGCTTCTTTAACATAATACATTTATTTAGATTTCATGCCTTTTACAAGTTTATAAATAACAAAGAGATATATAAATTGTTAAGTGCCATTAAAAAAAATAAAGTTAATGAATCATCAATGGTAAAATGTTTGAAGTGCAATAAAACTAAAATTTAAGGACTTTAATTTATAATTTAAACTATTCAATTAAAAATTATAAATAAAAAATATAAACACATTTATATTTTATACACTTTTTTTTCTGGACCAAACCACAATTAATATATTTCACTTCCTTATACGACATTATAATATGGTAACACTAAAGCAAATCAGTTGCTCCTTGCTTACAAGGAACACTGAAACGAATACCACTCAAAAGGGAACAGCAAATACATAGTCAACAGTTAGGCTAGAGGACACCTGCTGTTATTACAAAAGCCTATAAATCACATGTTCAAGTCTGTTCTCCTGCTGACAGCCACCGCGTGCTCATCAGTATTAAATAAACCTTCATTATAGCACAATAACCACCACAACTGGTGACTCCGACGTGATTCCTCTAGTCCAACGTGATATTTCTACTATATTCTACGCACTTTGTGACTCAGCAGACTTCCGATGACAACGCAATCTATACTTTCATCCCAAGCAGGCATGAATTTCGATAAACTCTCATCTCCTGTGGACAAAATACACGATATCGCATTAGCAGCAGCACAAATCAATTCGGTCCAAGAACCAACAGCAACATCAGCAGTCGAATTTTGCATTTCTCCTCTCGAAACTCTTCAATTAATGCTATAATGAATATGAGGTAGCATTGTCACCCGATTCCACCCATTTTCACAGAGGTGCTAAAAACATTTGCTTCTAGGGTTTTGTTATTATAGTTTTAGCAGTTTAGGAGATATGCACATTGAACCTATTAGATTATAAAAAAAAATTATTAAATAATTAGATATTATTAAAAAAAAATTTAACTACAGATGCCCCTCCTTAACGTGATTCTGTGTACAAAATAAGTCTTGTATCTTATTGCGAAGCTTAGTTATGGCAATTTATTTGTTTTTGATTAATGGCATTTTGTGGGCGTGGCAGTGGTCCGATTACCCCCATCTGCAATACCAACCGTCTCACGGTAACAAGAAACATGTCTAACAAGATTCATAAAGATATCTCTATTTTTACTCAAGTTAGAGCTCGCACGGACGGACGGACAGACAGTCACCCGGATTTCAACTCGTCTCTTCATCCTGATCATTTATATATACATAACCCTATATCTAACTCGATTAGTTTTAGGTGATACAAACAACCGTTAGGTGAACAAAACTATTATACTCTGTAGCAACAGGTTGCGAGAGTATAAATATGCCATGTTAACTAACCCAGATTGTGACTGGCGATGAAAAATGGGTCACTTACGACAACATCGACCGCTAACGGGCGTGGTCAAAGCTGCTCCCTTATGGCCAAACGCTCAATTCGGCCCTCTACTGCCAACAACTGGACCGCTTGAAGGCAGCACTCATCCAGAAGAGGCCATCTTTGATCAACAGAGGCCGAATTGTGTTCCATCAGGACAACGCCAGGCCACACACGTCTTTGGTGACGCGCCAGAAGCTCCGGGAGCTCGGATGGGAGGTCCTAATGCAACCACCTTGTAGTCCGGACTTGGCACCAAGTGATTACCATCTTTTCTTGTCCATGGCGAACGCGCTTAATGGTGAGAAGTTGGCCTCAAGAGAGGCCTGTGGAAATTGGATCTCCGAGTTTTTTACCAATAGGGACGCAGCCTTCTACGAGAGGGGTATAATGAAGTTGGTATCTCGTTGGCAACAAGTTTACGAACAAAACGGCATATTTGACTTAAATCGGACAAATGTACACAAAGTTATAATCTTTTGAAAAATCAATAAAATCAAGAAAAAACGAAATTTTTACTTGACCTAATATCTTACATATAGTTTGAAAACTAGGCTATTAGGTACATATATGAGAGATAAAGAATAGAGTAGTATTGACTCGATTTTATCTAAATAAAAGGCTTCCTGGTTCATTAAGGTACCTCACATACCATCACCAACATATATGGAGTAAAATCAACCGGACCTAATATTAGGGATATGAGGTTTATACCATACTTAGCGCTAAATCATTAATATAGTTTTATAATTCTTATTCATTAAGCTTTGACATTGTTTAGGTATACTCAAGAACATATTTTCCCGCAGTTTTATAAATAAATAACATACTGACCGACATATTCGGCATAAAGTTTGTAAAAATAACAAAAATAATTTTAGGCACATATATAGTATATGGGTTTTGGGTATTTCGTATACTAAATTAAAATTTTTTCTGCATTTTCGGCCAATATTATACGTTCACTTAAGTTTTCTAACGATATTGACCGATGTATGCGGAATAAAGCCAACTGAAAGTTTGAAAATTTTATATTATATATTACTTATATAGGGTATTACATTAAATTGCCCCAATAATATACAATACTGTTATTTAGAGAGGGACAACTGCAGCATTTTGAAAAATTGGGCTTTCAAACAGGTTTAATATGCAAATCTCTGAAGCTATAATAATCAAATTCGCTCAGGGAAAATATTTTGACACCCCTATCCACCCTGTGAAAATCGTTGATTTCGGATTATAACCACGCCCATTTCCCATATAACGCTTCTGATAAGAACTATTAAAACTGCTAAAAATCTATAACTAAATGCGCCCGAAACATAAAATTTTACATCTGAGATGGTACGAAAGGGCATTATAGGAGCTGGTATGAAATTTGTACGATGGTTGTGAAATCACCCACATTTGGGAGAAAATTCATATCTCGGGACCTACTCAACCTATTTTAACCACATTCGGTGGGTTATATTATCCTGACTGATTCTTACATTACAGTGCAAAAATGGGAGAAATCAGACTAAATCTACGCCTGCTTCCCATATAACACAATTTTCAATTCCATCTGATTCTTTGTGGAGTAATAAAAGAATATCAGAATAATGTTATGCACCAAATTGGGTTGAAGTGAGCAGGATTGTTTCTGAGCTATAGATTAAAAACAAGTTTAGAGCTGTTTTAATTGATTAGACAATAATTTTCTAAGTATAAAATGTTTGAATACACCCGATCTTAGCTTTTTTAATTGTTTAATCAATCGTCCATACGTGTCAGTAACAGTTCGAAAAACTCAAAACATTCGCATTTTTTTACCAACACATATTTTTCACTCATACTTTTCAAACTGGCAAGTCTACTGACGCGAATATTTCTATAGATTTTCGACACATTCTGACTGACTTTTAATTTTTTTGTTATTTTAAATATTAAAACTAAATGGATATTGCAGCATTTCAATTTTTCCATACAAGAACTTGATTCGGATTGGTTAGTTTATATGGGAGCTATATGCTATAGTGGTCCGATAACGGCGGTTTCGGCAAATGATCAGAACGTGAGCAAAATTTCAGACTTAGTTTGTCACACTGATCATTTATGTATATACTATTTTATAGGGTTTCCGACGTTTCCTTCTGGGTGGCAAAATTATCCTGTTCGGAGTATAATTAAAGCATTTGTAGATATAAGTTCCCAGATGAACTTACCAGTGCAAATTATTAAAAAGAATATAAGTATGTAAAGAGCACAAACAAATGGGGTAAAAAAGGTTTTGCAGTTGAAGAAGTCTGTATCAGTTTTCTGGATGATTCAATTAATGTTAGAAAGTCGTCTGATAATGGAAACCAGGTTGGTATAATATTCATCTACAATGCTTTAGTTTTAATTCAAGAAATATTATAAAAGTGGGCGGGGCCCCGCCTTCTAAAGGGTTTAATATACATATCTTCTAAGCCCCTAAAGCTATAAAAACAAAACTTACTCAGGAAAAATATTTCTAGCCCCTTTACCGACAATTTGAAAATGGGTGCATTCGGATTATAAGCCGACTTTTCATATAACGGTTTTGTTAAAAACTACTAAACGTGCGATATATAAATAACTAAATGCGTCAAAAGCATATAATTTTACACCCTAGATGATATGAGCGAGCTTTATAGGAGCCGCTGCAAAAATTCGAAGAAGGGCGTGGCACCGCCCACATTTAGGTGAAAATCCATATCTCGAGACCTGCTCGACCGATTTCAATCAAATTCGGGAGGTAGCATTTCTATGATATTCTTAAGATGCGGAAATTGACGAAATCAGACTACAATAACCCCTACTTCCCATATAAAAAAATTTTAAATTTCAACGGATGTTTTCACTTTCCAGTATACAAATCAAGCAATAATGGATGTATTGGGATAAAACTGAGGTGTGCCAGCTTGTGTATAGGTTGAATCGGATAAAAAATTCCCATAGTCCCCATATAAATAAAGGGAAAATATTCGAACTTCCAGCTGACATTATACCGCAAATATCTGTTATATATATGAGCTATCTTAATGAAATTTAAATACCGTTATTTTCTAATGACAATGTATCTTTGTGCATAAACTTGATAAAATCGGGTGAAAACTTGCCCTAACCTCCGTATAAATAATATATATATATATATATATTTATATATATATATTTATACCGCATTTATTGGTATCTTAATCAGATATCATCTTTTTCTGTTGGTAATATGTGGTAAATGCAAAAATAGATAAAAGCGTTTCAATACTATCCCTATATATATATCCCTATATCATATACTTAATACTATCCCTATATATATACCTATATCATATACTTAAAGTATGATTTGCAAACTTCTGAACACTATGTCGATCATATTAGAAAATATTGCGAAGGAATTCAATATTCATTATTCGACGAAATTGTGAATGGATTACGATTAAATTTGGTCTAAGTTACCAGTTAAGTTAAATTATAGGAAATATTGACTAAAAAATACTTGCATTATTGTGAGAAAAGTGTGGGATGCTTTGTGCCATATTTTCTCGGGGATACCACACTTTTCTCACAATAACACTAGTCTTTTTCGGTCAGTATAACTGTCAGTTTATACTAAGATTTACATTCACTTTTTAGTTTGATGTGCTTAAAAGCGTTTTTTTTTTTAGTTTTTATACTATTTCAATCTCAATACAAATGTTTTGTTATCCCCTTCGACAGTGTGAAAACGGATAACGGCTTTGATAAAAACTATTAAGAGTGTGTTAAATCGATAAATAAATGCGTCAGAATCATTAAGTTTTACACCCGACATACGACAGGGTTTTATAAAAGCCAATGTCAAAATTGGACGATGGCGGGCACCGCCTACCTTTACATTTATGTGACGTTGCTATGTTACAGTGTAAAAATTGGCGAAATCAGGCCACAACCACGTTACTTTCTACTTATTTTCCATTAACAGTAGAGGCTCAGAATAGCTAAAACGCACAAGAGTTAAGTATACGGAAAAGTTAAACAGCTTTCAGTCGCATAGGACTTTAAAAGGTTTAATGCTTCTTAATTTTTTTGAGAATTTTTCCTAATTCTGATATCATTTTATTTTCTCACATTTATATACATATGTGTGTAGTGCTGTACATATGGGCAATCAAAAAATTAAAGAAATTTCATTTTTTGCTTTAATGTATTAACAATAAATTTTTCTTTTGGATGTTTCTAAGAGGCTTTACTGACTGCAGTCGATTCATCAATGTTAGCTAAAGTGGACTGTTGAGAGTCCAGTTGGAGTTTGATAAATTAAAATAAAAATCTGGTTTCAAGTACACTTAATAAAATTGATAAGCGAAACTAAGTTTAATAAGTCAGTGTTTAAAAAACGGTGAATAAAACATATATAAATTATAACAACCGAATGACTGGCAATAGTTTTTTATAAAGGTCTTAATAAAAGAATTGTGTGTGAAAAAAATCCTCGAAAAATGGGCTTAAGATCATTTCTCGAGGATTTTAAATGAAATCTGAAATGATCTTAAGCCCATTTTTCGAGGATTTTTTTCACACACAATACTTTTATTAAGACCAACTTTTGTCAGTCTAAATATGGTGAAAAGAGCTCATTTGACATGTCAGTACTGTTAATTTACATTTGCATTTTTAAATTCAAATCCACTGATTGGAGAAAGACGTACGCAGAGCTATTGAGAGGAGGAGATGGCATCAAGTGAAAATTTATTTTTATATTTTCATATTTTATTATATTTTTTGTTGCATTCCTTTTTATATTTAAGTATATTATTATAACTAATTTTGATTAAAAGTTTGAAATTTATTAAAGAAATAAAAATTATATTATCTACTGCGCAAAAGAATTTTTCACTTCTGATAGCGTTTCAGTCATAACTGACAATTTTCAGCTATGACGGATTTATGGTCAGCAATGACTCAGAAAAAACCAAACAAACAAGCAATAAGAAAACAAGGATCTTAAAAAAATGATAGAAACTTTGTTCTGCGCGCTAACAAAACTTTTTCAGCTATGACTGTCATATTACCCATCAGATGACCGTCACTGTTCTTGTAGGGTACATAACAAATTTAAACAAATAGATGTGTGAACTGTCAATGAAAACTCATCGAAAACACACAATGTCGGTCAGAAAGACTTTGGTTCCACAATCCACAAATTGTGTTTTCAAGAGGATTTCAATTCGGTGCGAACATAGTATAAGAAATATTTGATGGATTTTGAACCATGTCGTGGAAAGAAAAAAAGATTTATGTAATAAGTCAAGTAGAGTTAGAAGAAAAAGCACGAAACCGTAACACATTTTCGAGGCGATCGCTATCTAAACGTATTATTTCAAAGCAAAAGCAGTTCGTATCCGAGTTTGCCGGCAAATGTTTATGTCAACTCTTGGACTAAATGAAAAAGTTATAAGAAATGGAACATTCCTAAAAAAAAGTGGGAAAATCTTAATGATCCCAAGTTCTTTATACCAGCAGATTGCCATGATTTTTATACTAATTTACCCTATGAAAATGAATAGCTTTATGAAAAGTTTACATATTTTTATGAGTTTAATTTCGTTTTGTTTAACTATCCTTTTGAAATTATTTTTTGTTTTGTTGGTTATCAACACTTAAAAATTAAAAATTAAATTAGTTATAAATTGGATAATATCCATATATATTTATTATTATATTATAATCTATTTAATGCAGGAAATAAGCAAAATTTTTTTTTTTGAGAAAATTAACAAAAACTTACCTTTCTAATTGAGTTACGCCCTTTTTGATTTCAGAAAAACTAATTGTAGAACACGTAAGTTTCATATTTTTGTAAGTAATTTGAAAACTAAAAATTTTTATTCAAATAATTAATTCTTCTATGAAAAATAATCTTATCTTGAGAAAATGTTGAAAATTTTTTTCCAATTTTTAGCTTTAAAAGGTTTTTTGCTTCTCCTGTAAAATTTAAAAAGTGTAACTTACGGCTTTTTTGATTTTTTGTTACGATATGTAGTCTTACAATCTGCGTTTGCCGTTGTTAGTTGCTTGTTTAAGAAAACAGTCGTTCTTGTTTTGTTTTGATATTATGGGAAATCGAAAATATCAATGACGCACCTCTTAATATTAATATTAAGAGCTCGAACTATACCACAATATTTTTTCATCATTTCGGATGCGATTTTTATGGAACTAAGAAAAAAATAAATTAAAAGTTTTTTTTGGCCCACCCTAAGCTACATACTATAGTGGCCCGATACCTTAAAAGGACATGTGCCAAGTTTGAGATTAATATCTCAAGAATTAGTCCCAGCTCGCATATATAAAAACATACCAACAGATGAACGGAACATTGCTAAATCGATAAGCTGATGACCGCGCCGCAGTGCTCCAAGTAATCAGGGATGCAATCGAAGTGACAGAGGATGGCGGAATGTCCTTCTCTGGAACCTTCAACGTAGCCGGATTCCCGAAGTCTCATAGGAACCCAACATCGACCTAAGAATCGACATCGACTGCGAAAGAGGATCGATTCAGTAAAAAGACAATGCTCTGTCTTTGGTGGGATCAGAAGGGTGTGGTACTTGTATATCATGAGCTTCTAAAACCTGGTGAAACTCTTAATACTAATCGCTACAGAAAACAAATGATAAATTTTAACCATGCATTGATTGAAATACGACCAGAATGGGCCAGAAGACACGGTAAAGTAATTTTGTTACACGACAATGCACCTGCACACAAAGCAAAATCGGTTCAGGATACAATGAAAGTATTTGGCTGGGAACTGCCACCCCTTCATACGGTGGGGGCCAGACTTGGCACCTTCCGATTAGCACTTGTTTTCATCGATGGGACACGCATTGGCTGCGTAGCACTTCGATTCCTACGCAGAAGTTGAAAATTGAGTATCTGATTGGTTTGCTTCAAAAGACGAACATTTCTATTGGCAGTTATTCACAAATTGCCAGAAAGGTGGTCAAAATGTGTAAAAGCAATGGTCAATACTTTGAATAATTTTTTTTACTTTCCCATTCAAACTTAGTATTTCATTTTCACAAAACAACCGGTACACCGCAGCCGCTATGATCCATATGATAGTTGCAAGTTATATTTTACTGTATATACATATGTCATACTAGGGCTCTTCAAATTATTTGAATAACCTGATACGATTATTCGAGTAACCTGAACCGACCACTATAGCATATAGCTGCCATACAAACTGAACGATCGGAATCAAATGCTTGTATGGAAAGCTTCTTCATTTGACGAGATATTTCCTCGAAATCGGGTATGGATTATTGTCTAAGGCAATAGTGTAATCTCAGAAGCAATTATTCAGATCGGACCTACTATGCCGTACAAACAGCATACATCAACCGGTTATATCCACCTGTGCTATATATAGAACGGCACTAAGTGCCATTGTTAGTGTTATACGTACTGTACTACAAGTATTAGTGCCTATGCTCGTTGAACATTATTGGATTAGCCACAGTTTCGTAAAGCCATAGCACCACCTTTGATAAGAGAATCCATCATTTCCCAATAGTCTCTTTACATCAATATAATTCAACCGATAATGGGCCATCGCGGCAGCATCCTAATAAGGATAAGGCCCATGTACTTCACCTTTTTAACAGACAGTTCATCTGGGGTTGTATACCCCCTGGTAAATTAAACCAATAAAGTTTTGGCTAACATATTGAGGTACCCTGGGTTAACTCACAGACTTTATCTCGAAAACTTCCGCAACGTCATTCGAATAGTCTATTCGAAGAAAGGTCATTTATCACCAAAATCCGAAGTAAATCCACTTTACAGGTTGCCTTTATTAACTTTTCGTAAGGCCATTGCAGTTATGTCTCAAAAAAGACTATATGTGAGATGCTGGAGCTTCGATTACTCTTTACACTTCTCAATAGCACTAATAACCGTCGAGCTTCTGCCGGGATGAACCCCACCTTGACCTGTCTCTAGGTTTTACGGCCTGTGAATGTGACCTATTATAACAAAGTTTGTGTAGCGATGGCTTTGGCATCGATTTAGCATTTTTAGAAAATACACACTTCATTTGTGTACCTGAAAAAGTGCATAGTTAAATATTCTATATATATATTTGTTTAAATGAGTTAAACCTCCCTTTACATACACATCTCTCTACCCAGGAAAAACTGGCGCGCTCTGATAGAATACACCACACCTGATGACACCACACGGGACAATAGGATACACCACTTCACCGGGCCTGTACACCACCAGTTACCAAAAAGGATGACCCCAGCACCTTCTTCACCTCCTTCGATAACTCAGCAATACGACACGCTACACATCATTCGATACGACACCGCTCCGCACGCATTTAATTAGATCAGACACCTTCTCTCGCGTTTCCGAATACACCGACGATTGGACCGACGCTATTCGTCATATCGTTTCGCAAAAGTAATTCCACATTTTTTTCGACAACAGTGATCCTACGCGTGGTGAAGTGACAAAAATAACACATAAGAATACGTGGAGAAACATATGTAACAAACAAAAAAAAAAATTCGAAAGAGTGCAGCCTATACATACATATTGTATAATACAAGAGTACATAAAATATAAATACACCTAAATTTCTAAAAATGTGCAAAAACTATAAAAGAGGTGACAAAAAGTTTAAGTTGTAATAAAAAGTACACAAATCTACTACTATACATATATACGTATGTATATATAATAAAATGTTTAAGCAAACAAAACTTTCCACATAATCTGGCGCGAAAAGTAAAATACAGAAATGCAAATCGCTAAACATACTTATATACATACAACAAAACGACATTACACGGATCTAGCCGGCTGGAGCACAGGACTTGGAACAAAGCGCACATAAATACATACACACACCTTTTCAAAAAGCCCTTGAAGGAACAAAGTAAGCGTATTCAATCTGTTTCTCATTATTCATAATATGCATACGTTATATGTATATATAAAAAAATACGGTTTTATATACTAATATAAAATCTGCAATTCAAAATCCGTTTTAACAACATAATAAAGCGGATACCAAACTGTTTTAAGTTTCGAGTAGTTTCCAGCCCATGTGTAGACAAAACACTAATTAAAACAAAAATTGTTCAACACGGCTTCAATATACCCTAACCTAGTAGCAAAACCAAATTAAACAGAAGCTTTTACAAAACACAATCGTTCACATCTGAAAAAATTTAAGAAAGAAACATTTTCCAGCGATCAAAAAAATTATGTACCAATTGCTTGTCTCATACTTATAAAAATTGTAAAAGCAAACTCAGTTGCTTCTATTGTCATAAAAGACACCACTCAATGCTTCATTACAGCACATATCCCAGCTCACTCCAAAGCAGCGCTTATAAGAAAAGAACCACGGGTTTAATTGCAAAAGCAAACTCCGAAAAACAAAATCCCGAAAATTGCCAAAAGACATCACGTTGCTCAAAAGCACAAAACGCTACACAGGAATACACAACATAAGGGTATTATTCCCCACAGCAGTCATCTCTGTAGAAAACCGTGGAGAGCCCTAGAGCCCAAAATACGCTAAAACTGCCATCAAAACAATCGAATTTTTAAATAACGGGAAGGGGTGGAAGAGTCAAACAAAACTCAAATAAAGTCTGACCTATTACCCTAATTTCCCCCACAACGGATAAGCGTATTAAGAGGCTATAGTCCTACCGCAAGCATTGGCAAAAGGTTTCACACCCAAATCTAGTGGATCCCAACTGCAACACCAACGCTAAAATAGATATACATAAGGCATTAAGGCAGCGACCTCATACCACAAATAATACAAGAAGGTGTTGAAAAATTTCAATCACCCTTCTAACACAAAGCACAATATTCGGCTGGATCCTAAGTGGACTAGTTATGGAACCAGTTACTACCATGAGAACTCAAGTTGTGAAATTCTAAACAAAAAACCTAATTCACAATTAAGGAAGTTTCGGGAGTTAAAAAAACTCCCCCCTATCAATTACAACTTAAAAGGATCAATTTTGTGAAGACTTTTACAAAGTTACAATTAAGTAAGTCGTGCGACTACCACTTAGACCGCAATTTTCCTCAAGTATCCACAATAACGATAATAAAAAGTCAAATTTTCTTCCCCGGGGCAAAACTTTTCGCCCCCGCAGAATGGCTTTCACCAATTATGAAATCAGAAAAAACCGTATTGAATATAAACGAAATCAATTCGGTCTGTTAAGAGAAAATAAATATTATTTCAAATCATGCAAAAAAATACAGAATAAAAAAATAGACGAAGCAAGTAATTGAAAATTAATATTCGAATTATGTTAATTGTGCTTTGTGAAAACATGTGTGCTTTTGCTCTTAAAGACAGAAATTCAAAACTCGGAGAACACGTAGGCTTCGCCCCATACACAAGTTTTTATTTTGTTTATTTCAAACTTTTTGAATAAACTATAACAATCTGGACATATATTGATGACTATAACAATTGATGCAAATTTTTATTTAAAAGTTATTACAATATGTAAAGTATGTGTATAATATGAGCAAACAAAAAACCGAAAATGTTTAAACTCAAACTATATGATAACAAGTATATTTTTTAATTTCAAAAGGCTATATACATCATAATGCTTATACGCTACATTGTTGGTTAATCCTTCTGAAGTAAAATTTTCTAAATCTAAGCCCCAAGTAAAAATAGCTCTGTCTCACACGGAGCTTACGGATACCTAGCGCCCTTCGTAATAAGATAGCCATACTTGCGTAGCGGGGCTATGCGCAAGCTGACATATCATTCCCCACACT